AATATCATTGAGGGCCAATGATTTAGATTACAGTTATCATAAAACTAATGAACAAAATATAATTTTATAATATACAGGAAATTATGTTATAATAAATAAATTTAAATTTTAAAAAATATTTGATTCTAAAACACAAGTTAAGTGAATTCGATAATTTATGACAAATAATCATAATACATAAAAGGAAGAAAGAAACTTCCTTTCTTCCTTTTTGTATTGATAAATGGACATATAAAACAACCATCGGAACTAATACAAGGAAATCATGAAAAAAAAATTAATAGGCAACTAGAAATTTTTGATAAGTACTTTCATATAGTCTAATTTTGTTAGATTCAGTAATACCGTATATTGTAATTTCTATTTATAAATTGATTGATGCAGTTAATATAAAATAATATTTATAATTTTAAATTCGAATTAAAGAAATACGTCCCATTAAACTCTTTTTGTGAATTTATATGATATTGGATTAGATTTATAACGCAAGTCACTATTATAGACTGACCTTCAACGTTCAGTTTTAATTAATTATAGATCTTTCATACTTAATGAAGTTGATCAATATCATTGAGACGAGCATAAAATAATCGAATAAATGGAAATTTACTCCATTCGTATTTTATATTTCATCTAAAACGCGAACTGAAGTTATTTTTGGAATTTAACATTTCTCTATGTAAACAAGATATTAATCAATCAATCCGCTGCTGGTTTTATGAAAAATTTATTGAATTTTTTTAAAGTTCATTCCGAAACGATGTTTTCGGAATGAACTTTAAAAAAAAATATCACGAAAATTTGTGTGAATTCTGTTCCTTCTCTTGCTGGTGTTTATAGTTTTTTTTTGTTTTTTTAAATGTTTGACACTTTTTCTCTCTACATACACATAAAAAGATCTTTTTCTATGCTTATAATGAATTCAGTCAGACTCACAATGAGAGCGGCTATGTGATGAGGGACAGAGCCAGACATATCCGAAACAGACTTATCCCCGAAAACTTTTTGGGGCAGCTTTAATCTCGATCCTCAAAACGGTAGGCCTTAACCGCCTTGGTCTTCGCCCACATATGCGGAAGTTATTATCAATAAGTAAAAAAGTTCTTACGATCAAATCACGAATTATCGCCAAACATTAATTAAATCTGAAATATGCAGTAAATCGAGTATGGCGCTACAATGAAGTATTTCAAACAAACAAAATTTATACACAGTAATGAGATCTACATGCAAAT